CCCTCCACGCTCCCGGGCCAGCCCGCATGCTGAGGACCCACCTGTGCTGGGTCCTGAGCCCTCTGGGCCTATCCCATCCTGCAGCCCGGGGTGCTCTCTCTCAGGCCAGCTAATTTCCAGCTGTCTCCTCCCACCCCGGCGTCCGCTCCACAGCCCTGGGAGCCAATGTCCACCTGACGGGTGTCCCTGTTCCTTGTCCAGCCTGGACACGGGGCTCACTGGCTTCTTGTGGGCTTAGCAGCTGGGCACGAGCTGGCCACCGGCACCTTGGCGGTTGCATCCCTGGATCCAAGGGTGTGATGCCCAGCTGCGGCTGGTTCTGCAGGTGGGCACGATCACCACACAGAACAGTACCACCGGGCTACCACGTGCTCACTTCCTCCCAGCCCCCAGCTGTGTCTAGTGGAGAAACAAGGCAGGGGACTCTGCAGAGGATTCTGGTTCTCAGAGCTGTAAGGAGCGAGGAGGGGGCCTTGGCCTAGGGAGATAAGGGGTGCCTTCTTCTGAGGCCACTCTTGAGGGTTGGGGTGGGCAACCCAGCTGCGGGCAGGGAGGACAGGAAGCAGGCAGGTCCCGGCGAGGGTGGCCGAGGTCCAGCGGACACAGTAACCACCTCTGGACAAGAAGCCTGTAGGCTGTGCCCAGCTGTGCAGCCCCGCTCTGAGTAAGCATGTGCACCTGTGTGCCCAGTTCGGGGTCACAGACTGGGAAGGGAGCCCTGCAAGGAGACCAGACTCTTTCCAGGGTATGCCCTGCCTGGAGCAGACCCCAGATGAGGTGAAGGGTGGGCAGATATCCCTCCCTCGTGGGCTCCCTGAACAGGAAGGTGAGTCATGCAGGAGGCCTGGTCCCAGGCCCTGGGCGTTGAGTCACCTGTTCAGAGGAACAACTCAAGGACCGCCCATGATAACCACAGCCATGCAGTTCCTGCAGGGTGGGCTGTTTAGAGAGACAGCGGCCCCAGGAGGTGAGTACAAGCTCAGAGCCAAGAGCTGGGCTGAAGTCCTCCTCCAGTGCATAGCCTGTGACCCTGGAAAATTAATTGACTTCCCTGTATCTCAGTTTCTAAACTGGTAAACTGTGGGAAATCACAGACCTCACCTCTGGGGATCTTGGCGGGGTCAGAAAATTAAAATGTATAAAATGTTTACTATAGGGCCAAGCACAGAGAAAGTGCTCAAGGGTGCAGCTGGTTCCATGGCTCTTTATTCCTGGCTACAATGACACACACCTCTACTGAAGCCACAGTGGCATCCTCTACTGGGGCTACAATGACACCCTCTATGGAATACAATGGCACCCTCTACTGAAACTATAATGACACACACCTCTCTACTGAAGGTACAATGGCACTCCTCTAGAAAAGCTACAGTGACATCTCTCTAGGAAAGCTACAATGATACCCTCTACTGGAACTACAATGACAATTGTCAACTGAAGCCACAATTAACACTATGAGAGACAACACCTCTCTACAGAAGTGACAATGACAACTTAACTAGTGCTGAAAATAATACCCCTCTACTGTGATGACAATGAAACTACTTGGGCTACAGTGATACCCCTCTACAGGTGTTGCAATGATACCCCTCAACTGAAGCTATAATGATAATCTTCTAATGAGGCTACAATGATACTCTCTACAAGGGAACCATTGACATTCCTCTACTAGGACTCCAATGATACCTCTCTAGTGGGGCAATGACACTCTTCTACTATGGTATCCCTCTACTGAAGCTTCAGTAAAACCCCTCTATTGAGGCTACAATGCTACCATGATATCAATGGTACCAATCTACTAAGGCTACAATGGCATCCTTCTATTGTGGCTACAAAGATATCCCTCTACTATGGCTACAATGATACCCTTTGCTGCAGCTAAAATGACACCCCTCTACTGGGGCTGCAGCTAAAATGACACCCCTTCACTGGGGCTACAGTGACACACCTCTACTGGGGCTAAAGTGACATCCATCTACTGGGGTGACAATGAACATTCTACTGAAGCTATAATGACACCACTCCACTGGGGCTACAATGACACTCCTCTACAGAAGATACAATGACACTCTTTTTATTAAGGCTACAAATATACCTTTTATTGGGGGATTCAATGATACCCCTGTACTGAAGCTATAATGATACCACTCTACTCCAGCTACAAGACACCCTTTACTGGGGGGACAATGACACTTTTTGACTATGACTACAATGACACTTCTCTACTACGATTATAAGACATCCCTCCACTGGGGCTACAATGACACCATTCTACTGGAGCTACAATGGCACCCTCTGCTAAGGCTACAATGACATTCCTCTACTGGGGCTACAGTGACACTCTACACAGGGGCTATGATGACACCCTTCTATAGTGACTACAAAGATACTCCTATACTGAGGCTATAATACACACTCTACTGGGGCTATGATGACAATTCTCTACTAGGGCTACAATGATGTTCTCTACTTGGGTTACAATGACACACCTTACTGGAGATACAATGATACCTCCTTACTGTGGCAACAATGACACCCTCTACTGGGGTTATAATGATAAGACTCTACTATGGATACAATGACACCCTTTATTGGGGGTACAGTGACACTCCTAACTGTGGCTACAATGACAACCCCTACTGCAGCCACAAAAAACCTCTCTATGGGGCTCCAACGACACTCTCTACTGGGACTATAGTGATGTTCTCTACTGGGCTACAGCGATACCCTCTACTGTGACTACAATGACACCTTCTACTGTGACTACAACAATACCTGTACTGTTAGTACAATGATACATCTCTATGGGACTACAATGACAACCTTGTACTGGGACTACCATGGCACCCCACTGTTTTGGCTATAATGTTACCCCTCTACTGGGGCTACAATGACACTCATCTACTGAGGTTGCAATAATACCCTTCTGCAATGGCTACAATGACACCTTCTACTGTTGTTACAATGATACCTCTCTACTAAGACTATAATGACATCCTACTGGGGTTATAGTGACATCTAACTACTGAGACTACAGTGACACTCTTCTGGGGCTACAATGATTACTGTCTGCTGTAGCTATAATGACACGCTTCCATCGCATATACAATGACACCCCTCTACTGAGGCTACAATGACAACCCTCTACTGGGACTAAAATGACACACCTCTCCTTGGGTACAATGATATCTGAAGCTACAATGACCCTCCTCTACTGGAGTTACAATGACATCTCTCTTCTGGGGGCTACAATCACATCCTTTTACTTGGGCTACAATAACACCCCTCTCGTGGGATATAATTAAACACCCTTTACCAGGTAAAACAGCATCTTCTACTGGGGTAAATGACACCCCACTTCTGGGTCTACAATGAAACTCCTTTATTGTGTCTACAATGACACCCTCTACTGGTGTTACAATGATACCCTTGTACTGCAGATACAATGACTCCCCTCTACTGGGACAACGATGACACCCACTCTATAGTGGCTACAATGACACACTCTACTGGGGCTACAGTGACAAGTGTCCACCACATCTACAATGATACCCTTTTACTGTGGATATGCTGACACCTTCCTCTGGGGCTACAATGACACACTTCCTCTCAGACTTCGATGATAATCCCTCTGCTGGGTATATGATGACCCCCGTTCTCCCAGGCTACAATGACACTCCTCTATGGGGTCTGCAGTGACTCTTGTTCTCTCAGGTTTCAATGACACCCTTCTACTGGGTCTACAAAGACCTCTTGGGCTTTAATGACACTCCTTTAGGGGGTCTATGATGACACCCCTCCTCTCAGGTTTCAATGACACCCCTCTACTGGGTCTATGACGGCTGTCATTCTCCCAGGCTACAGTGATACTCCTCTACTGGGTCTATAATGGCCCTCATTCTCTCGGGCTTCAATGACACTCCTCTACTGGGCCTATGAGGACACTCCTCCTCCCAGTCTATAATGGTACCCCTCTATTGGGTCTACAATGACACTCATCTATAGTGGCTACAATGACACACTCTACTGGGGCTACATTGACAACTGTCCACCGCATTTACAATGACACCCTTCTACTGTGGATACATGGACACCCTTCCTCTGGGGCTACAATGACAGCCCTCTTCTCAGACTTCGGTGACACCCCTCTACTGGGTCTATGATGAACACCCATCCTCCCAGGCTAGAATGATACTCCTTTATGGGGTCTATGATGACCCTTGTCCTCTTGGGCTTCAATGACACTCCTCCTCTCAGACTTTGATGACACCCCTCTACTGGGTCTATGATGGCAGCCCTCCTCATGGACTCTGAGGACACCCCTCTACTGGGTCTACGAAACATCCCCATCCTCCCAGGCTACAATGAAACTCCTTTATGGGGTCCACGATAACCCTTGTCCTCTCAGGCTTCAATGACACCCCTCTATTGGGTCTATGATGACACCACTCCTCCTAGGCTACAATGGTACCCCTCTACTGGGTCTACAATGACACCCCTCCTCTTGGGCTTTGAGGACACCCCTCTACTGGGTCTATGATCATCTCTTCCTTCCAGGTTACAATGACACTCCTTTACTGGGTCTATGATGACACCTCTCCTCTCGGGCTTCGAGGACACCCCTCTGTTGTGGATACAGTGAGCCGCTCGACAGCTACCCTGCCGATTGGAGTCTCATCGGCAGTTCTCTGTATCTTTGGTTCATTCAGAGAAACAGGAGATAAAAACAAGGCTACTACTAATACAGGTATTTGATAGAGAGACAGGTCTCAAACATTTCCGCCCCAGGACCCGGGTGGCTCCCAGGTCTCCCGCGGGAGGGGCAGGAAGTGCCCCCAGGCTGGCCTAAGCCCTGGAAGCTCCCCTCCACTGGAAGCCATGACCCAGACCATGCTCTGCTCTGGTGAGACTCGTGTCCCAGGCGCCTGCATCGGCAGAGCCAGCAGACACACGAGGGAAGCATGCAGACGAGACGCGATTATAAAAATAACCAGCGCCCGGGAGGGACCCAGGCCGTGGAAAGCCATGACCCTGACCCCACGGTCAGGCGGCACGGGGTCAGGTGCCACAGAGACCCCCTCCTGGGGGAGCTGTGGGGGCGGTGATCTTTATAACCGGGCAGCAGAACCACAGGCAAGCGGGGACAGGCAAGGGGGGCAGTTACCTCAGTCGGCGTTGGCGAGAGCAACTGAGGAGACTGTGGGTACAACATACAGAGTGACCGGTTAGTGCCGAAACGCCAGGCGGGGACTTGGGGGAGAAAGGGCGGTGGAAGCTCAGGAACCGGCGGCCACACAGGGCTCAAACATTCACGCGCGAGACCTGACCCTCCCGACAGCCAGGACCCCACCACGGGAGGTACACTGCAGGGCACAAACACCTTCGTTTTGGGGACAGACGGTCAAGGGCACCCAGGGAAGGAGGTCGCCAGAAACTTGCTGTGCGCCACCATCCCGGGGGCTTGAGTCCATCTCGGCCCCCACACGCCCTGCCACCCTCCCAGGAAAGGAAGGCCGTCAGCTGGGTCACGGGGAGGCCACATCCTGTGAGCCCACCACCTGGGCTTTCTCTGGACCCGAGGGGAAGGGACCAGTAGTGAGAGAGGACCAAGCTGGTGAGTCTCAGACACAAGCTGGGAATGTGCAGCCGGAGGCCGGGTGTGGCACTCAGGCCCGTCATCCCAGCATTTTGGGAGGGTGAGACTGGAGGGTCGCCTCAGCCCAGGTTTCCGCAACCAGTCTGAGCATGAAGCCAGACCTCATAGCTACAAAGAAAAACAAAGAAAGAAAATTTGCTGGGTTTGATGCGGTCTCAGATACCCGGGAGCCTGGGCGACAAAGACTCTGACTCAAAAAACCAAAAACTCACAAATCAAAACTGAAATTTGCAGCAGAGCAAGGAGATCAACCCAGGTGTCTCAAGAGGAGAGGGGGGACCCCGACAGGGCTCTGTTCCTGCTGCTCCCCTGTCCCCTGGGGGACAGGACCTTGGGGCTGGAGTCATTCACGACATCCCACCACCTGAGAAGCGAGGTCTCGGAGAGGCTGGAAGCAAGCCCAGAGGCAACTGCTAAGTACCCACACTTGCCGCTGGGCGCTGCGTCCTGCTCACGTGCTTGCTGACCTTGTGCAACCCACGGAAGCAGGACTCAGGGTGACCACGGCCCAGTCCAGGCACGTTGCCTCTGCACCCCCAGGGCCCTTCACTGCCACAAGGCCCTTCCCAGGGGACACACGTACTCAGATCGGGAAGGGGTTGGCCCCCATGTCAGGGTGCCAGGAGGACAAGTGGAACCTCGAACCCAGAGCTCTAGACGTGTGTCTAAGGAAGGGCGAGACAGGGTCAAGACGCAGCCAGAGTGTTTGTGGCCCTTGGGAAGAAAGGACTGGATTTGGGCCTGGGCTGTGCTGCTTACCACCTGGAGGCCTGTGGCCAAGTCCCTGGACCCGACTCCTTTGCAGGGCCTGGTCTGGGCGCAGGCCAGAAGCTGGATGGGGAAGCCCACACCCAGCCTGGCGTGTGGTTGGGGGGTGCAGCTGGGGACGCCCGCCCCCGGCCTCTCTCAGTGTTAATGGGGATCAATGTCGATGTCACCACATCCTCTGGCTCCAGGTATCCACAGGAGTAGAGGCAAAGAAGGGTACCTGCCGGCCCTAAGCAACTCCTATCTCCCCACTTGGGCCCTTGAGCCCTGCAGGCATACCTGGCGCTCTGGCCTCCTCAGCAGGGCCAGACAGAGCTTACCCGGCACCTCTCACCTTGAGAATGGCGCCCCTGGAGCCTCAGTCTTGCCCCCCCACGCCTTGCTGGCCTCTCTCTTTCTCTCTCTCACTCTCTCTTAGACACCCGGTCTCACTCTGTGGCCCAGGCTGGAGCCAGCAGCGTGATCATAGCTCACGGCAGCCTTGAACTTCTGGGCTCAAGTGATCCTCCTGCCTCAGCCTCCCAAGTCGCTGGAACTCTGCCACCACGCTCAGCTAATTTTCTTATTTTTTTTTTGTAGAGACGAGGTCTTGCTATGTTGCCTAGGCTGGTCTCGAACTCCTGGCCTCGAGTGATCCTCCTGCCTCGGTCTCCCAAAGTGCTGGGATTCTAGGCATGAGCCACTGTGCCTGAACCCTTGCTTGAGTCTCAAAACGAGAAGGTCCTAGGGAAATGTGTTCTAAAGGACTGGGCTCTCCTGCCCTGGGGTGGCATCCCGTGCTCAGGCTGCACACGTGCCGAGACACACACACGTGCCAAGACACACACACTCAAGCCAGCAGCCTGGCAGTGGCGCCTCTTCCTACTCCAGGCAGCCAGGGTCACAGTGAAACCTCAGACCCACAAGAAAAGCCAAAACCAACAGCGAATCCACATCGGATGGACAAGAGCAGCTCTGAATAGAAATCACAGAGTCATCAAGGACACTGCCCATGGGAATGCTGAGAGATAATGCATGGCTCCCTCAGGGCGGTCAAATTGGCTCGAGAGTTCACGGGGCAGAGGAGGCGGACACGTGGCCGGGAGCATTCTGGCCGGAGGGAAGCCATCACCGCATGCTTTATGGGAATAATCCAATGCTTAAGGAAATTCAGAGGTTTTCACTGAGTTTTGATCATTTTCCCTAAGAACCTGCATGCTTCCTGCGTCCTGCCCATTTCCAGAGGCTTTCCGGACGCCCTTCAGCGAGGGGAGGTGTGGGCCGCGTGGCCTGGGAGCTACACCGGGCGTGCACTTGGCTGTCTGCAGGGCGCGAGGGGCTCGGGCCTCGTGGGGAAGCGGCACCCAGGGCCGCGCGGGCAGGGAGCGCACCTCGCCATAGCTCTGCCTGTCCCCCGCAGAGTGGCTGATGTAGGGCGAGTAGGAGATCATGTCAGGGCGGTCGATGTCATAGATGGCCTTGTTCTTGGGAAGGGCCGCCAGGTCCCTGTAGTCTAGGATCTCACTGCCAAGCTTGGCCTACAGGAGGAAAGGACAGAGGGTGGAGGTCAGACCCATGTCCCAGAGGGTGCAGAACCAAGGCCAGAGGCGGCCCTGAGGGCCCCACGGCGGTGGCAGCCGCGAGGAGGAGGCCGGAGGCCGCGCACACCCTCGGCTCCAGGCGCCAGCAAAACCGGGGATGTGTGAATGTATGTGCAAGTGCATATAGTGCACACATGTGTGCTTATATGGCTGCACACACATGTGTTTAGGTATGTATCGGTGCCCTCTGTATCTGTGGGTTTCACAACCATGGATTCAATGAACCAGGGATTAAAAATATTCTGAGAGGCTCACACCTATAGTCCCAGCGCTTTGGGAGGCCGAGGCGAGTGGATTTGCCCGAGTCCACAGGTTCGAGACCAGCCTGGGCAACTTGGCGACGGACCTGGGTGCTGGGGCTCAGCCACAGAGAGCCATGGGGCCTTAGCAAGCGTCTCTCGGAGCCTCAGTCTCCCAAGGGACGAATGGCGGCTTAGGAGGACGCTGGGGACAGAGGTCAAGCCTGTGACGAGCCTGTTGTGAGGCTTGACAGACAGGAGACTCAGTCCGGGGCCTGAAACACACACGCATGTACATGTATGCACACTTACAAACACACACACTCCTCTGAATGCACACAAACACAGCCACACATGCACAGGTGCACGCAAACACAGTTGATGCCTGTCGAGACTGTGGCAGGCAGCCCTTGCCTGTCGAGACAGCCCTCACATCGCCACCCACTCCCACATACTAGTACACATGTGTACACACCCCCACACTGGCACACAAACTTGCACATTCACAGACACATGGGCTCACCCACCCATCCACACATATGAGAACACACTCACCCCACCCTCACCCAGTGAGTACACACTTGACCCACCCAAGCTTACACACGCGTATGTGCATGCGCACACACACACACACACACACACACACACACACACACTCAGCACTTGCGAGCACTCACAACACAGCAGCACCGGGCCTGGCGGGGACAGGCAGCTGGGACACGCCCTCCGGGAGTGAAGGACCGTGGCTGTCCTGTCTGCCACTGGCACCCGAGCCACTCCTTTGGTTGCTGAGTGAATGCGGGACCCCGAGCGCCACTGCGCGTGCTCAGATAGGTCCACCCAGCCGCGTGCCGCTCTGCCCTGCAGTCCCTGCAGGTACAGCCCTGCCTGCCCTCCTCGGCCCAGCCTGGTTGCTCCCTGGAGCGGCCGGGGGCACCTCTCCGGTCTGGACCTTTGCCCAGATCCTGCGTCAGCCCCCTCCCGGTGCCTTGCTGGGGTCTCCTCTCAAAAAACGTCCTCAGCACAGCAGCCGACAGGCTCCCTACCCTGACACAGGCGCTGACCTAAGGAAGTCCTTCTCAATCTCCTCGCCACACACTCACAGCCACACCAAGGGGCACTCCCAGCAGCTCTTTTTATTTTAATTTTTCCGATACAGGGTCTTGCTCTCTTGTCCAGGCTGCCTCGACCTCCTGGGCTCAGCGATCCTCCTGCCTCAGCCTCCTAAGCAGCGAGGACTACAGGCACAAGCCACCACATCCACTAATTTTTTATTTCTATTTTTTGTAGAGACAAGGTCTTGCTATGGTGCCCAGGCTGGTCTTGAACTCCTGGCCTCAAACGCTCCTCCTGCCTTAGCCTCCCAAAGCGCTGGGATTGTAGGTGTGAGCCACTGAGCTCGGCAGTAGCAGATAGAGAAAACAGAGTTCAGAGAGGTTGGGTAACTGGCCCAGAGTCACACAGCCAGGTGGCATGGGGTGAGCCGTGATCTAGGCTGTCTGAATCTGGAGCCCACGCTCCCACCATCGCTTTCCCCGGTCCAGGCTCCCTGCTGCCTCCCACCGCTCCCCAGCTTGATCTTTTCCCTCCTTGCTTGGCGATGCAAGCCCTTGCTGCGACCTCAGACTTGGCCCTCATGTTCCCAGCCAGTTCACCCTCAGCTGTCTCCCCTCCATACCCTCTGTGTGCCAGACCCAGCCCGCCACTCTAGTTTTCCTGTATTCTAGAAGCCCTCAATCTACCTCCTCCAGGAAGCCTTCCCGAGCCACCGGGCTCCGGGCTCTCCTGAGATGTCAGGCATTGCAGTGAGTCCTGGGGTTGACAATGAACGTGAAGACAGTAATGTCCTGGGGAGTCTGGCCTCTGGCTGGCCGCTTTGCAGGCTGGGGCAGGGTTCAACAGACTCGAGATGGAGTTCTGGGCCTGCCATGACGGTCAATCCCACCAGGATGTTTCAGGGCCCTCCTTTGCCTTCAGGACAATGAACTTGGGCCCTTGGAGGGTGTGGGCCTTGTTCGCCTGCTTATCCAGGCCACTTGCACCCTGGACTCACAGTTCCCAGTCACTCAGAGCCAGAGTGCTCGACACATGCTGTGCCTTCCTGAAAACGCCCTTCCAGCCCTCCGTCCTGGGCACACGCCCTAGTCCTTCCGACTAGGCTGTGGCCTCCCGGCACCAGGCTTCTTCCCAGCACCCTTCCCTTTCAGGGTTAGATGTTTTTCTTTTTCTTTTTTTTGGAGTTGGAGTCTCATTCTGTCACCCAGACTGGAGTGCAGTGGCCGCTCCCGGCCACCGCGGCCTCGCCCTGCCGGGCTCCGGCGATCCTTCCGCCTCAGCCTTCCGAGTAGCCGGAATTATAGGTATGCGCTACCATGCCCTGCTGATTTTTTGATTTAGTGTAGAGATGAGATCTAGCCAAGTTGCCCAGGCGGGTCTCAAACCTGCAGGCTCAGGCCTCTATTCACATTTTAAATGCCTCATGTCTCAAGGACAGAGAAAATTTCCCTTGAGACCTTTATAATCCAAAGGATGACGGAGAGTATCAAAAACTGACTGAGAGCAAGATGATAACTACATAAATTTTATCAAGAAAGAATCAAAACAGAGCTTAATCTTGTCCGATATTTAATTCAGACTTCTGAAAAAGTCAGTTTTATACCAAATACTTCATACCCGAATATTGAGTCATAAATTTATTGTATCATTATTAAAGCAATATATATTGAACAGGTCACTGTTAAATTGTGTGTTACCTGGAGGCATACTACACAATGCCATCTGCACCTTTTATCAGAGTCATACAAACTACTTTATTCTATCCATCTCCTGAGTCACTTTTCAGGGCTGTGCTCAAATCAGATGGGTTTTTATTATGGGATGAGACGAGAAAGAACTATGTTTAGCAGAGGATGCTTAGAATAGGTGGTATCAGATGGAGCTTGTTAAGAGTTCTAAATTCTTGGTGGGTTTGCACAAGGCTCTCCAAAATATGGAGCAAAACAAGCAAAAACTTGAACCACTTTACAATGTCTGGGATTACAGAGGGTTTTCACTGGAGCCCAGAAGCTATCTGGAAAGACAATGAAATGCAGATTGCTGAAAATCTGAGAGCTTGTAACTTACAGCAGATACTGAAAGAGAGACACATCTTCTCATTCTGCCATTGCACAGCTGACTCCGTGTCTTTCACAATCACCCCGTCATCAACAAAGATAGGACTGGAGTTTAGGCCTTTAGCCTTTAGCCATTTATTGTTTTCCTGTCCTTTTAATTTAGATCATTAATGCCTTAGTGCCTAACATAGC